TGGATCCATGTCTCCCCAGAAAACCACTAAACTGTGGAGTGGAGCATTGGCCCACCCTTCTCTCCAAATGCTCCACCCCAGGGGCCCATAACTAAACAATGTGTTGTGTTGTGTAAAACACAAACTACACATACTCCCCCTTGGGTTAAAAGGCCTATCTGCCTTCACTTTATCACAATATATATATATATATATATATATATATATATATATATATATATTTCTACATACAATAAATTATACCTTTACACTTACGGCTTTTATTTTTACCTGCTTTACAAAGAAGGAATGTGGTCCTTAACCACATACATCTTATGAAGTGAGCCGATTTATTGGCTCTGGGTTTGTGAGTATATATAAGCTATCTTATAATATATACCCAGTATACCGACTGTACTACGCTATATATTTTCCTCCTATACCTACTATCTAGGACATTAACCCCTGGAGAGAATTTGGATTCAAGGAGGGTGAGGGTCGCCTCAACGGACCCTAAGGCGCATATACCTGAGCTAGTGTTCTAGCTCATAAAAGTGTGAGTTAGTAATTTACATATTTACTACTTTTATATATTTATATACAGTCCACACTATGTTTTGTATATTTATGCTTTTTTAAGGTTTATTCGGAAATATTGGATTACATATAAGGGTATACGACCCCTTAAGGTACACCAAGTTTCTTTCCATACTAATATATCCACTATTATTAGAGCGCTACACCTGATATTTATTTTCTCCACTTTTCCAATAGAAAGATAAGCACGGTGGTATAGCAGCTCATAGAAATTTGGTAGAATTAAAGATATAAGACTACACAAATAAGCGCTTGTACTCTCCATTTTTAATATATATATGTGTTTACTGGCAGGATGACCAGTTCTCCTACATTGTCTGCTGGTTTAATGAAAATGTTTTAATCATTTTTGAGATAGTAGCTTTATCTTTTTGTTTGTAAAATATTATGATAATTTTTTTATTATAAATTTTCCTTATGTCTCTGGTGACTAATTTTCCAAAGATTTAAAGACAGCTAGATTTATAGGAGGAAAGATAAAAAGTAGA